TTCAGAACTTTTTCCTTATTAGCGGCACCTCTGTTTGGAGGCTAACAGCGAAAGAACCACTTCTCTGATGTCGGAACATTAAGTATTTCTGATTAATGGCACTGGACACTGTGTCTACAGATGGCTGTGCCTCGTGCCTTAAATGCTGGGAAATAAACCATGCTATGAATTATATGTTGCACATCTTTAAGAAATCCTGTTGCAGTTTGTTGTAAGGCAACAGCTGGTTTAGTGCCCAAGCCTCAGCAGTTACAAAACATGGCATGCATGCCTCCGCGTGTTCAGGCAATTCGCAGAATCTGTTACAGAGTTGGTTCCTTTGGTAATACAAATTCAGTATTCAAAACATATTTTTAAAAAACCTCTTGCTGCTTTTCAAACATATTTAAATAAACCTAATAAAGTTGTATTGACACTTCTGCCAAGGACAGAATAAGATACTTCAGTATTTAAAAAATGCTACAAGATTTTTCTACATCAAAGTTATAATTTCTGTAGGATTTTTTTATTAGTCATCATGACTCTTCAGAGCAGGATTTCAGATGAGCTGATTTAGCTCTATAGTTTTGAAATGCAGGGGAAGATGTCTTCCCCTTATGGGCACCTAAAAATAACTGGATGATACTGGGAGAATATGTTCTCCCAATCTTCTCTAAATGAAGTAACTTTATGTATTGGTATGGATTCATCTGTATATTAAGCTTTATTTCTTTTAGCCATGTATCTATAAAAATAAGTAGCTTAAAAGCTGTACAAAATATATAAGGCTTGATTTCAGCCCCAAGTAAAGGGGAAATATCTCTTCGTATTTTATCGTGGGTAATTAAGGCAATAGCAGTGAATTTAGCTTTATGTCGGTTAGTGGATGTTTTCAACGGAAACCCAAAACTGATGGGAACAATGTTTTTGGGGGTACAGAGTTATGTTTAGAGCTGTCTGTTTAAACCATATTCAGCATCATTTTCATAAAGCTTTGAAGAGAAAAAAAAAAGGTGAAAGGGTGCTACAGTGTTGGTTGGCTTCAGATTTGAAAAGGCATGGCCACATAATCATTTCAAGCTGACACAAACACATCAGCAGGCACCAAAAGGGGCGGGCTTCTTGCCATTCCTCAGGTCCCAGGGAGCTAAATAAGGGTCCTTTCTCGGCTGAAAACTTAAGAATCTTCCTTCTTACAGCCTAAGTTTGTAGTGTTCCAGTTCACTATGCAGCTGTACGAATGCTACCCAAATGCTTTTTTTTTTTAAAAAAAGCCGTAGCATAGAGGAAACGGATTGCTTTGCTTTAACTAACCTCTTGCTTCTATGCTTACATCTGAGTTGCAGAGTATATTCCAGCTTGAACAGACCTGTGGTATCTTTACAGTTTTTATAGCGCAGATGATTCTGATTTTTTTTTATATTTTATTATTTTTTAAATGATTTTCACAGATGAGCTCAGTTCCTGGATACAGCAGTCTTTTAAACATTATGTTACGCAAGAAGCTAAGCAACACTTCAACAACTATGACAAAGATGGTGATGGATTAGTGTCTTGGAAGGAGTATAATATGCAAATGTATGATCGTGTAATTGATTTTGATGAGAACACTGTCCTGGAGGATCAAGAAGAAGAATCATTTCGACAGGTAAAATGTTTCGCGTTAGTTTCTGTAAGCTGTTGGTGAAAGGTAGCAATGTTTGTTTATTGGGATGGAACAAGATGGGTAGAGAAACATAGCAGCTGGCACATGTTTTAACACTTTCATCTGTCTGAGATAGGGGAGTAATTACAGGAAAGTAATGGAGTATTAAAGCTGCTACCAACAAAACAAAGACAGAATGAAACTGTACCTCCTGAGTATATTTTGCTAGCTGAGTGGAGTATAACTCTATTGACAGTCTTACCACAGCACACAGTCTCCAGCCGTAGTCTCAAAACAAGGTGGCAATCTATTAGATCAGCTCTGTAGCCTAACCAGTGTCCTGCCTTCACTGGGGGCCAGTACCACTGGTGCTGGAGGTAAAGGAAACCCCTGTGCTCTTTAGCCACCTTTATTGCACTGTTGTCCCCACTTTTTCAGTTATTTCTCAGTTACCCAGTGTGGAGTATAAATATTGCCTGTTTTAACATTTTCTGTCCATTAGAGACGCACAGAGAAAGCAACAGCAATTCAGACATTTTCAGCAGTCAAAGTGCAATTCTGATAGCTAAAACTGGATGTATGAACAACAGAAGTTACAGATTAATCTCGTATATGAAAGCAAATACTTAAGCGTGGAAAGGAAAGAGGCAAGAAGGGAAGGAGGTTCACCAAGAATCACCACATAGCAAAACTTGTTTTCTTTCAAGTTACACATTTATAAGTACATGTAAATATTTCCCAAAAAGAGAATAAGTGAGTTTTTAGACTATTCTGGCCTGACTGTTGTTTTGGTTTTGTTTTTTTTTTTCTGTGAGGATTGCTTTGGCCACTTTTAGTAAAGTGGTAGCGGATAATAGAGGATGTTGGTAGAAATGAAGCTAAATTAGGCAATGGGCAGGGGATTTTACACGCTGAAGAAACAAACTGTAAAGCTTTGGAGGTCTCTTAACTGAATAATTACATAGCTTTTAAATAAAACAAGACTTTAAATGGAACTACCAGTCAAAATACTGATCCCATGTTTGAGATATTGCTGTCATAGATATATATGCTGAGCTAGAACTCCTACTCATTTATGCTATACTTTGACTGCTCACTAGGTTTTCCTACTTGCTAGGTTTTCCTGCTTGCTGTTTTCGTCAACATATACTGTAAAGAGCAAAATTAGCAGTATTGTAGAAGCATTATGTGCCAGCCATCTTCAGCATTCTCCTTACTTTTGGAAATTAGTGATCCTGCTCTAATCAAAATGGAAGAGTTAGGCTATGGTATTGATTTAGAACTGACATCGAGTAAACATCTGAATTTACCAGAAGGTGGCAGCCTTGTTCATCATTTCTCAAAAAAACACTGAAAAACAGACTTTTCCCCTTGATAGTTCAAGTTTACGTTGCAGCCTAGTACTTTCTGTAGTCAGTCCTTCTGAATTGCCTTCCTATGTACACTGTAAGCTCAGGTCAGCTTTTCTTTAAGAGTACATTTAATTATTTTGCAGAACAGTTGAGATCTTATACTTTGTTACATATTATGCTCTGTATTAATATCAGGTTAGTCTAAGTTTGAGAGCAGTGTCAGTAAATAGGATATAAACTAACAAGTGCAATTTCAAATGGTTATTTTTAAAGTATTTGCGATCTCTGGTTTGCTGGCCGCTCCCTTATCCGGATCAGAGTCACACTGATAGCACAACACACTTAATCATGGGATTCCAAAATTTTTATAGCTTGCGTCACATGCAGTTTGAGTAGAGATCAGTTATCAAAGGTGTGGGCCTTAATTTTGTCTAAAGAGACCGTATAAAATGAAACAAGAAGAAAATACATTTTTGCACATTTGGAATACAGGAACAGGAAGTGCAGGATATTCAGAAATAAGAACTTGCCTGCTTACTGTGGATATTACTTATTTTAAAAAGGCATGCTAATATTTAAACTTAAAACAGGTTAGAGAAGTGACTTTGCTTTGAAATATGTTCAGATGTAATGGACAACAGTCTTGCATTAAAGGAATCTGTCTAATCCTTCAGCGCTTAAAATGGCTTCAAAAAAGAAATTTTACATATATGATATTTCAAGACCTTCTTGGAACTACAGACAGCCCTTAATAGAAATAAGATGTAGATCCAGAAGATCCTTAAAATGTAAATTTTGGAATTTGCAATGGCTACCATTAATTATAATCATTGTACTCCACTGGCTTAGTTTGGGGACTGGTGACTTTGAGAAGAGGAAGTGTGTATAAAGACAAGAATTCTTGGTCTTTTCATTATCTCCCTTTTGTGTTTTTGAAGCCTTGGCTAAGAGTGTGTTTTAAATGTCTCCTTAAATTGGAGAAAAAAGGAAGTTTTTATGCGATTCTTAGAATAAAACTACCTCAGTTAAAAGTGCTGTTCTTGTTGCTCTGGATGAGCTCTTTTTAGTGAAAATATAACATCAGTATAATATGAGTAGGTAATGTGAAACAATTAATATTCTAATGAGCTTAGAGCCAGCTACTATAATGTTGTTTTTCCTTTTCATTAAGTGCTCTAACTAAATCTATTCTCTAAGCTTCATTTAAAGGAGAAAAAGCGTTTTGAAAAAGCTAATAGAGATGATGTTCCTGATCTAAATGTGGATGAATTTGTTGCTTTTGAACATCCTGAAGAAGTGGAATATATGACGGTAAGATTCATCTTTTTAATGCATGTGCTTAGCCCCAGTACTACAGGAAGTGTGCTTTTGAGCAGTTATGTGTATTGCTTTTACAGACCTAATTAAAAATCAGATAGTGGGTTGTGGATCCAGTGCTGGAGTTCAGAAGCTGGAGCAGTAGTTCAGTGCTTTTCTTTGAAATCTGTTTCGGGAACTGTTATTGCACAACTGTCCCAAACTTTTGTCATTGGACTGACATAGCGCTCTTTAAACTCTGTTAGGTTGGAAATACATCAGTGAGATTTTAGCTTGAGAAATTTCATGCCGAATTCAGAGTTCAGTTCTAGTTAGGGGGACTTACAGGGAAGATCCCTTTGCATGGGAAAAGGTCAAGTGCCAGTTACTCACTTTGCTTAAAGTGACACAATATTCACTTTTCTGGCCAAAAAAAGAGCATTTTCTGAAGCGTTAATATTGACTGTACTTCGGTCAGAGTTGGGGGGATTATTATTTCAGCCAGGAGCACTTTGTCATTGATCATCTGTTTCATCACTGCTGTGACTGTTGGTGTCATTCTAGCTCATAGTACCGACAGTTGACCTCAGTGAAAAGTCTATTGGTGCTTTTCTGCAAGAGCCTTCGGTTTTGGCTATCTGATGCTGCAGAGCCAACTGCCAGGAGGAGCGCCATGCAAACAGAGCCTGTGTTTGTGTTGACATAACTGTTGATTATGGACAAACAGAAAAGGCAGAACTACAAGAACAGGCAGACTGGCTTCACAGGACCAAAAGACCAAGCAGCTTTCCTAATAATTTCATAAAGTTGCAGAAATGCGAATTAGTGAATACATCACACAAAAAAAGAAAAGTGAAATGAGATGATACAGCTTTGTACAAATTCATGTTTCTCAGCTACTTGTGTAGTTTTGAATTATGTCAGATTTAATTTTCATAAAACCTGACATCCTGAACTTTAAGAACACATCTGTTTTGTGCACGGGACCCAATTACTGCGCTAGTCCACATAAAACAGAAAAGCAGATTGGAAATGAGTGAGCCTGTGCTTTAAAGAATACCTTATTGCTCTAAGATGATTTATTGCTGTTTCTATTGATTACAAGATGCTAATTTGCCACAAATTGATATTTTGCTTTTTGTATGTATGCAAAAGGACTTTGTCATTCAAGAGGCGTTAGAAGAACATGATAAAGATGGTGATGGATTTGTTAGCCTGGAAGAATTCCTTGGTGATTACAGAAGAGACCCAAGTAAGGAAAAAGGGTGGGGGCATGAAAGAAGGAACTGAACAAAAGCTTCTGGACTGGGGCGAATTGTACGCACCTTTATTTTCAGCTTTTTACACCTCCACCTACAGGTTCTGAGTAACATTATCCTGTCTTTTAGAATAACTCAGCATAGGAGGTCGGCCCTGTCTGTATTTGGCAGTAGTTTGCATATAGCCCATTCCACTGTTTCCTTGCAGTTGCTGCTTGTTTTCCTAAAGGCTGAAGCATATTCCTCATGATGAGGTATGCAGCTGAAATAAGATGCAGTTTTGCTAACTGAACACGTCTGCGAAACCAGACATCAGGAGTGTAAGGTTAAATTTCCCTGGTCTTTATCAGCCGAAGGCGGCAGCCGTCAGCCTTGCTTTAGAAGGATTGAAGCTGGGTGCGTTTTAAGAGAGGTGGAGGGGAAGTGTAAGGAGTCTGTTCACTGCACCAGGTATCAAAAGCCTATCTGCTTTCACTTTTTGGTTTTTTCCTACTCTTGCCCTTCCTTAAACTTAGTCTATTCCTTCTTTAACAAGGAAAAGGACACTGATCTCGTGTTTATCAATACTTTTCTCTAGCTATGTTTCTAATAGATAAATATTTTATATGCTGTATTTGATTTGCTACACGATAGGGCAAATAACTTCCAGTTCCAAAAAGACCAGTAGCTTGAGGCATGTGGGAAGTTGTCTTGGTCCTAAGGAGTGTTAATTCTTAATTGTGGACTAGTGTCCTTGCTGGAGAAAACATTTAAGCCACATGAGGCTATGAAGAAACAGGGGAATAGCTAATTTTTCTTCACTCCAATCAACCACCTGGAATTTCACCTTTTATTACCATCTTTGTTTGCCAGAGCCAGTAAAAACAAAATACCTCTCATGCAACTGCAGGGCTCTTAATCTTTTTTCTGCTCTGACTTGAAAAAAGCTTTTCCAAGCCAGTCTATCCGAAGTTGTTAGAAAAGAGTGAAATTGTTGCTAGGGTCCTTGCAGTAACAGATAAGATAACAGCTTTGTCATTAAAACTTCTAGCAAGAATTCAGAATCCGCTATAACTGTAGAAACTACTTCAACTTTTCTCCAAATGGCCATCTCTTCTGCAGATAGTGCTCCCGCAGAACACGTTAAGATGACTAATAAACTACATGGTGGGTTTCGTTTCACAATTGTCTTGTGGTTTTGGGCAACAGTGTATGGTGAACCGTGATGTTAAGGGATAATCTACTTGTAAACTAGATGTTAGGAAGAAAAGAGAGAGACTTCACTTTTTTTCTTCTTTTATAATAGAAACCTAATTATTTTTAAGCTGTTACTTATCTGCTTGTGCTGTCAACTGCTTTTGACTTCCATAAGGCTTATGAAGTCTTATATCTGTTTGTGCTCGTCTGCAATGTTTATCAGTGGTGAAAGATCAGTTTGATGAATTGCTTCTAAATTTCTTGAAGAGTTAAGAGACAAATTTAAGATTGCTGGCTAGGTTGCAGGATGCAGTACCAGTCAGTGCCTAGGGTAGGTATAAACCAAGTATGCAAATAAAGAAATAAATAAAAACAGTAAATGGAATTGTTTTGGATATATTCCAGGTATTTTAGAAAACAAAAAAAATTATACGGTAAACTCATTTGAAAGCCTACGGCATTGGCCTGGGTCTGTTGAGCCTGCAGTAATCAAGAGCTTTAACTTCTCTCTTATCTGTCACAGATGGGCCTCCCTGGATGTTAAAGCAGGGGAACAGACAGTAGAATGTTATTAAAAACTTATGTCATAATCCCATATACTGCAAAACACTAGTTATCTACCTACTTTTTGGGACACTTGTTGATTTAAAGCTTCTCCCTACTTTCCTCCATCTGTTACGTGCTGAGATGGCCAATGTCTGAGGCCTTTGGTATTGCTCATACTGCTGTCATGTGATACTCTCAGGATGGCATCTGCAACATGATTGCTGTACATTAATGGGAGAGGGTAATCTTAAATCAGGCAGGGTAAATGCTGCAAATGTAAGATATCTCTGTCATCCACTTCTAGCTTTTTCCTACTGATATGTCAGCTGTCCCAGTAAGTAGGAAACCCATCTGCTTGGCAGCACATTCAACATGAAGTATACTTTCTCTACTGTCAGTTTGGGTAATTGTGGATATATTAAAATAAACAGTTCAGTGGATGGTAACCCTTAACTTTAATGTCTACTTAGTTCAACTGTAAATTTCCAATAATAATATTACCTTAGCTTTAAATTCTGTTTTAATCTATACAGGTATTTTTTTTTCATATGTAGACAGATACTTTTATTTAATCTTAGGACTGGTCTGTAAGGCTTATGTTTAAAAAAAGGCATGAAATCATTTTTATGTTACGTTTTATGAGATTAAGTGAATTTGCTTAGGAGAAGAGGTGAAAACATCTGCTTTAAGGTAAAGAGTGGCTTTAAACTTGAGAAATGTGTCTTACTAGCTGCAAGGGAAGATCCAGAATGGATACTGGTTGAGAAGGATCGGTTTGTGAATGACTATGACAAGGATAATGATGGAAAACTCAACCCTCAAGAGCTGCTGTCTTGGATAGTGCCTAATAATCAGGGTATTGCACAAGAGGAGGTATGTGTTTCAACTGCTGTTTAGATTTTAATTAATACAGTAGAATTCTGAAGGAATCACAGCAAAATAATGGATGCATTCAGGTTTATCACGTCTTAGTAGTTAAAAAAGGATGCTTAGTAGATTTTTGCATATATTTTCAATCTTTTTTTCAGTTTGACAAAGAATGCAGGTCCTTTAACTGCGTTAGGCAAATTTGAAGTTCCTATTGGTTGTATGAATATTTGTAAATTAACAAAGTGCTTTTCTACACGTTTAAATAGCTCATCTGGTTTGACTTAAGGGTACAGTATTTTAATCAGTTATTTTTTAGTTATTGTAGGGAAATCTAATGAGCTATACTACTAAAAGAAGCTGTTACATACTGAGAGCATAATTTTGAAAACAAAAATTGATCGTGATTCTTCTAACTGGATAAATGACCATAATTTGTAGAAATAAAAACTTGTCTTTTCGTAAGTAGAAGAAAATGGAAGTATTCTATGATTCAAGATGCTGTAATGCAAACTTTGATGATGATAATTAAAATGGTTTAATCAGGAGTAGAATGCCATAATAGGCTTAAGTGGATTCTCATTTTAGCTATCTTTATTTTTTTTGTAGCAGGCAGCAGAAGCACTGAGTGTTCCAGAACAATCTATTTTAGTAAGCAGAATTCACAGTCACGGACTGCAGCAGAGAGGATTTCTGCCTTTCTGCTAGTAACTTTTTCTCTTAAATCATCCAAATCTCTTTCCTTTGCACTGGAGGATTTTGGTGTTCAGAATGGCAGGAACAACAGGTCTTCCCATGCCTCTGTAATTCCTGGTAAAGACAGGAGAGGCTTTTTGTCAAACAGCATAGCCCATCTGCTGTGTTGGACCATCTCTTTACTGAGGTCCCACCTCTTCCTTTTTCAGCTATGTTGGTGACAGAAAAAGCAACGTGGCTAGCATGCAGCACTGGGTGTGCATGTATCTAACCTTGTAGGAAGCTAAGCTCTTCAGTTGCTCTAGTAGTATTTTTGTAAACGTGGATCCGTAAGCCTTTGCACAGACTTTTTTTAACATCTGACTCTTGAGGGTGATTGGTTCTTATTTCACAGGAACACTACTGCTCTAACTGACGTGAATTCTGCGTGGTGGTGTGTCTATTCATACCTGCTTGGTATGAATGTTTGCTTGGTTGGGGGAGGGGTTTTAGCAGTTCTTCGCTATTCATTCAAATCTTAGCTTGCAGCAAGGCCATGCTGTACTAATAACTCAGTTCTGCAAGAAATCAGGTTTTTTATTTGTTTCTCTAATGTGCTAATATTTTTCGTCGGTTAATATAAGGGCTCGTCAAAGTGATCAATCCTAAAGAGATTGACTTAAGTCATAAACTGCCGTTTGAAAGCTGAATATTGCAGTTTCATTTTGGCATCACAAAATGACTCAGGAAACGTGGTAGCTAAATAACATAAAAATAGGAAAATTACTATACATTCTGTTTCCAGGAATGGATATGTATTTACCAAGATGTTTGTCTTAATAATCTTTTAGCTTTTGCCATGCAGAGTTCTTTTTTTAAAATCTGCTTGGCTGACATTAGTCCCTGTCATTTTCTTCAGTCCTTTTTGGTGATGTAGTCAGCTGAATTGTAAGTGATATTTAATTTTTTTAAAAAGTCACTAAGCAGTTACATTGAACCAAACCAATCAGAAAAAGTAGGAACAGAAGGATTCTCTAAATCGTTGTATTTGTGGATGTTTAGCAAATAAAACCAAAACCCATGTAATACTAGGACTCCTCTATTTCTCAGAAATAATAGGTGCAGTAGAGCTGCTGTACCAGCTTGTTAGCTTTGAGCTATGTAATAGTTGTGAATAAGCTACAAACTCAAATATTCTGCAATTGGTGTTTTGTTTTACTCCTTTTATAGTACATAAATGAGCAAAAATCTGAGAATTGGTTTAACTTGCAGTTCCATTTGATATTGTCATAGAACGTTTTGGGTTGAAAGGGACCCCTAGAGGTCATCTAGTCCAACCCCCCTGCAGTGACCAGGGACACCGCTAACTAGATAAGGTTGCTCAGAGCCCCATCCAACCTGGTCTTGAACACAGGGTGACTAGCTGTCATGATTTAGTATTTAAAAGTTTTTTCAGAAAAGCAAGCTTTTGCTTTCAGGAAATGAGGGAAAACACAAATTGCTACCCAAGTTGAAGTTCCTATGCATAGGTGGCTTATCGCGTCCACTGCTTGAGGTAGAAAACCATTTTTCACAGTAGTCATCAAATACTTTCCAGTTACCCATTTTAGTCATGAATTACAGCCACGGAGCATATTTTGCTAAATCACAAGTAGATACAGAACATCCAGCTGCAAATCTCTATCCCTGCTTTCTTTAATATGCATGTATGATGGAAAAATGAGTCTCCACAGGTTCAGGAAGTAAAAAATGGCTTAGCACAGTAGACACCCCCGGAGTTGAAAGCAAGAGTGCTTGCAGCTTAACCTGAGAGGTGTAAACGATGCTTGTCTTGTCAGACATGGGGTAAATACGTGACTGAGAGCTAACGGGCACACATTTCTGAGAGAGAATGCTCAACTTGAAGATTGTGTTGGCTCAGATCCTACTTGAGGTCCCACACATCAGGGACTTGCTATTGTAGCTGTCACTCAGCGGCTGAATGTCCGGCGGGGCCCCCTGAGAACACAGGGTAACTGGCTGACACGCTAAGCTTGCGTTTTCTGCAGATTGTACGCTGAAGAGGTGCGCTGTGCTCACCCGTGGATTTCAAGGACTATGGGTGCTTCCAGGAATATAATTAATCTGTGCTGGTTTAATACTGTATTTCACCCTCAAAGTAAAGCTATGGGTTTGACGTTCATTTGTTGCTTTAGAATTGATAGTGAGGGTAGAGATTTGATGTTATGATTTTGCCACCGAATAAAAGAGGCAAAGGGAAACAAACCAAGGAAAGAAAGGCTCTGTTCGGAATGTAAAATCTTGTCTAGCTTGTTACAAATAACAGTGTTGTGGCAGGACTTTGACAAAACCATTCCAAAAGCATTATTTATAAATGCTTGTATCTATTAACTGTGCACATGGTGTTCCATTTATTTTAAAGGCTCTTCACCTTATTGAAGAAATGGATTTGAATGATGATAAAAAGCTTTCTGAAGCGGAAGTTCTTAACAACCAGGATTTGTTTCTTAACAGTGAAGCAACGGATTATGGTAGGCAGCTTCAGGATGAACGTTTCTACCATGAAGAACTTTAGATTATTTATTTCTTAACCTGTTCTTCTTCCCTTTCTTTCATTTTGAGCTTTTCTTTTAAAAGCACCCATCAGCTCTATTGCAAGGTTTATGCTGTAATTACAGTACACTAATGTTTGTGTAAATAATTTGCATTCAAAATTTAATTGCCCTCCTGCAGACTTCCTTGGGCCTATTCTAGCCTTCAAAATTAATCTTAAATACTTACTTCCAAAATTATATAGCGTTGGGAAATAAATTACTTCAGGGGTAGTACTGTATTGTGAAGAGTTGTTCTACTGTACTTTAAGAAAATGGAGAATCTAAATGATTCTGAAAGAATGCAAAACATAGTAACTGAGAGACTACTGTTTTTTCTAATCAGTTTAATAGGGAGGGGAGTGGGGAAGATAGGGGGATGTGTAGAGTATTAACCGTGTTTTATTTAATACGTTTGGAGAAACACTTAGATTAATGCCTCAATTGTTTAAGAGGTTTCTACTTAATTTTAAATGGTTTCTATACTGTGTTTTATTGTAAAATAAAACTTGCTATTTTTACATCTATAGACAATTGTTTTTAATGTACAATTCTACAGCATTAGCAATACAGTGGTATTTTACAGTGTTAAGACCCTCTTCATTTGTTGGATTAAAACGTAAAATACTCTGTCTTTCTGTGTTTTGTCCATTTATTACCTACTGTGGGTCACAGTCCTTGAAATGTGAACAATGTACACAATGTACAATGGCAACATTGTTAGCTTTTATAAACCAGAGACGCATCATCTCATCTAGATGCTGAAGAAGATTCAAAACAAGCAAAGTGTGCATTTAGCATTTTCTGGACAAGTTTGCAAAAGCAATTGTGTTTGTGGGGGGTTTTTTATTTGGAATATGTAGAACTCTAAAGCATCGTGACTTTACACAATATTTGTAGTAATAACATCTAAAAGTTAACTTTGATTGAAAGCTCCACAGTTGCCATTCATAGAAGTAAGTACTGTCCCATTTACGTGATTATTAGAAATCATCTGAAAGGTTAATGGCACGATAGGTTCAATTTAGGAAAGTACATATGCTTGCTTTTTATCTCCTAGAAAGTCACAGGAATCAGCTGAGTATCCTAAACAAAGACATAAGCTTCACAGAATAGATTGTGTAGAGCTGTAAAATAGAACTACAGCTTTCCTTACTTTGCAGTTCTTAATGTAATTTTATGGGCACAGAAAACTAGTACTTCAAAAGAAAACCATATAATTGTTAATGTAACCGAAATGTGGATTTGGAGAAGTGCTAAGCTCAATCCTTTAATAATGTTGTATTCTGTTGAATGTTTCTGTAATTCCTAGAGTAAATTAATATAGACTTCTTTTGATTTTTGATAATGTTTTTAAGATTAGGCTTCTTTCACTTTAGGATTAGAAGCCTACTAGCACTTTCACAGTCTTAGAAAGACTTGTGGGTTTTGATAGTTCAATATCTAGTGTTTAGGCTGCCCAAATTGGCAATCCACCACTTCACATGCAGTGTTATCTATCCAAATATTCTACAGCATTCTACACAAGAGTAGCTCTGGGATTCTCAGGGTTATGCATTGACAGAGTCCCTTACCTAGCATTTTTTACCTATGCTGAGAAGAAGTGCAATAAAGCAAAGTATCTCTTAGAACTTACACCTATTTCACTGTAGATAGAAAATAGATAGAAACTTTGGGTTCAGTGAGTCAGAGCTGAGATTCCTCAGCACTCGAGTGGCATAATTTATTCTGTATATTTATAGAAGGACTGAATCTGGGATTACCAGAGCCTGCGGAAGTCACACACGAAGTAACCCAGGTTAGCCTGGTCTTTATGTTTCCTGTTGGCCCCATTCTTCATAGAAAATGCAGTTTCTCTGGTGAAGGCAGTATCTGCCCTCTGCCAGGCTTTATAGAAGGTTTTCCACAACATCCAAACTTTAGCTATATAACCACACGTGCTCAAACATGAAGGCATTTGGGAACAAAGGACTCTGTCTTGTTCTGCTGTTCTGTCATGTAAACCTGATGCTTTGTTTTGAAAAACCCTCCAACCACTGTATCCTACAGCTCAGCCGTATCCTACAGCTCAGCCGTATCCTACAGATGAGCTGTATCCTACAGCTCAAACAAACCTTGTAGAGGCATGGTAAAGAATCCTGTTCCTCCTTAAACATCTCTGTATCTACTCCAGCAACACGCACCACCGAGACCACCACGATAGCCAAGGAGACCGAGTGAAAAGCCAGGGGACTGTGCCTGGTTTTGTACAGACACAACATCCTGGCGGCCTCTCCATGTTCCACCACTATTGGAACTTCAATTCTTTTCTCATTTTCTCACAAATCACAAACCTCACCAAACAAATAAAACCAGACTGTAGGGGTATTTTAGAAAGCAAGAGCTAATGTTTCATCTGGTTTATCCTCTTCTGAAGCATCAGACTTTATTCTGTCAGATGGTGGAACTTGAGCCTGCGGAAGTTTTATGCGTGCAGTTCAGGTGGCAGGGTGTGGGGCATACTGGATCAGCTTCAGCCAGCAGCCACAGAGGGGTTCGGAGGAGTTGTAACAAATCCCGCCGAATGCTCGGAGGCTGCCATTTCTGTTTCCATGGGAACAGAGATTGGCTCCCCACAGAAGGCAAGGTGATTTAAAAATTTTTAAATCAGCGCACTTGTGGATAATTTGAAAGCCCGTAATATTTCTCACACTGAAATTCAGATAGCCATTTGTATGGAAATAGAAATGGCAGGCGTGGTTAACCAGCTAAAACGCTTGTATATTTTAGCCGTGGTTTTCCTCTGGAAGTGGTTTCATTGCTGTTGGTGTCTCTAGGCTTTAGGGCTCGGTAAGACACCAGAGGCTGGACTGTTTTAATTTTGAACACGACTGTATTATAGCAATTGTCATGCAGCCATCTCTCTCAGATGTAATTGTTACAGAGGCTTTGAAGGAGGTGCCTTCTGTTCTCCATTTTCATGTCACAATGATTCCAAGGGACCACGATATACCTGAGGAGTTTTCAAAAATACAGCCAGCTTAACACCTGAATTATCTGCATATTCAGCATCTCTTTATACACTGCCTTAATACTTCTCATAGACTCCCTCATCCTGTTCCTATGTAGACTGAAAGGTTTACTGTCTACGCCATCAGACTACTCAAAATCAGAAACATTAACCGTAAAGAATGGCTTGCTTGAAGCCCTGGATGAGCACAGCCCTGTTGTAGACACTATTTTCATATTTTAACTACTGTCAGGTCCAAGCTTGCCACCCAAATCCCTAATAAAAAGTTTGCTCAAAGCAGTATGTAGTTTGATAAAAATGAAATGAAACTTCCATTCTGATGCACATCAAAATTTGAGGGTTTTTAATATGAACTTTTTTTTAAAAATCAGACTTTTAATCACTTTCCACTACAGGACAGATTCAAAAAGTATATTCTGCTGCCAAACAATTTAATTACTGGAAAAAAATCCACCCAGTACTCTGGCCTGGAGACTGAGTTTTGGCCTTATCAAAGAGAAAACCTGATTTTTAACCTTTCAGAGCAGCAGTGGAACAGAGCTGCAGAGACTGTCGGGGAAGCATTCCACTTAAGGCTTGTTACTGACACTTTTGAATTCCTGAGTGGAGCTGTATGTAAAGAATAGATGAAAAGCCACATTAAAAGGATGAGGAAGGGGAGGTGAAAGGCCCTGCAGGTTTCCAAAGCATCTAGCCTGTCAATAACCAAATAAATGAACAAGCGGCTGACTACTTGTCGTTGCCACCCTAGTCCCACTCACTACAATGACAATAGTCTAAACCCCTTGCCCACTGAAAATGCTTCTGTTTGGCACAAATGCATTTTTATAACTGATTTCTAGAGGAAAATTTCATTAAGTTCAAGGTGGTTTCAGTAGATGGCATTACAGTAGTTACTAGCATAGCAAGGCTGGTTGATTTTGTTCCCCTTCCCTCAGCCCCGCAGAGCTCCTGCCTGGGCTCAGCCTTTCCAGCCTTCGTACAACTCAGGCCACTCACATCAAAATATTAGCCCAGTCATGAGATACGGCATTTAAGAACTGGACGCTGTGCTGTCTTGTTCGTTTTTAGAGGATGGTTTTATAAAGATTGCTTCTCTAAGTACAGCATTCATCATGAGAATTTTATGAAAGACTCGCAAGATGAGCCCAATACATTTGGTCGGGAAAGGGACAAAGATGAGTGTCTGGAGCGGTCAGGAGGCTGGTGTGTCTGTTAATTAAGACAGCTATTGGGAACTGCTATTTCTGGGTGCTATTTCAAGATCTGCTAAACAATACAAGCTTACAACAAGTAATTGCACCCTACAAACGAGCAGTTGTAGTAGACCAGCTCAGCAGGAGCTTAGTACATGCCCACTGCAAGGTATTTAGGTATTCTTTGATGCTTTACTTATGGGAGAAAAGGAAAATCATCTTATACCAACTTTCTTGCACCCAGTCATGGCCAGTGCAGCGGGGAGGGGATACCCAAGGTTCTGCAGAGAGCTGTTTACCAGCTACAGAGGTACGCTTCATACCTTGGCCAAGGAGAGGAGGTGCTGCTGCGTGCAGAGGAAATAAGCAGTGTGGGGTTATGGATGCTGTGCCCGACGCTGGCACGGCTGACTGACAATGCGTTACTCGCACCTTGGCAGCTGTGAAGCACAACCACCTGGAGAAGAGTCCCTCATCAGCACCCCACTAACCCCATCCTAGGCCTTCACCTCTAGTGCTGGTGTATTTGCTGGGACCCTTTGCTGTAGGTTTCAGTTTCTTCGGCTGCAAAATTGAGATAATTTTCTCACTCTTCCAGAGCCCTGCAAAGCCTGACTACCCCTGCAGGGTATAACACCCTCTGGACATAATCCAGCAACTCTGGGACATGTGAGCAGTGACAGCTCCAAATCAGGGGCTGGGACTCACACCGGCTAATTTCTGACAGCTCATCAAAATACCTGAACTAGGAACATGGTTGGTCTAGGCTCTTCTGCAGCCAATGCTAAGAGATAAACTCATCCACAGTGCAATGCTGACTGCTTCTGCTATATAGAGCAGCATCCCTAGCTGCTCCTAAGGGAGGTGTCTGTGCCATACTGGTACTGCTGGGTGGGACAGGTGCAGGCGCAGAGCTCAGTGTGAGATTCAATCAAATAATTGGCTTTTTGGTTGGAGGCCAAACTAAAAATAATGAGGAAGTAGCATATAATTTTGGAGGGCCTAAATGCACTCAATGCATTTTTATGAACCCCAACAGCAGCAAAGCTACCAGTTTCAAAACAAAGCCGTAACTTGGAAATAGGAAGAGGAAACGTTTAGTTTTCGAAAGACTGAGATAAAACATTCTTAAAAAGAAACGTTTTTTTTTTTCCTTACAGTTCAAGCATTATGACTAGTGCCCATGCCCTCAAAATACACTTTTTCAGGGAATTTTCCCTTCTGGAAGAAAGCTTCACTCATTCCTCCTCTCCTTCTCCCCCTCTCACATGATGATGCTTTTTTCCTGCTGCTTGTGACAATCAAAGCAGTTTCACATCTCTGGCCCTGCAAACTCTCTTGCCCTCCTTGGCTTGCACTGCATTTTCCCTTTCAAAGTCTCTGCACGTTCCCTGTCTTCTTCAGACTACCAGGAAGGAAACTTGCCAGTTCTCTAAAATACCAGCTACAAATTGCTTCTGGAGTGACTACTGCTAACTCCAGCCACCAACTGCTGCAGACGTCTCGAAGCAGATCTCTGTGCCCCGCTGGAGCTCAGTGAAGCTGTGAGACTTCCTCGCCACTCAATAATCTGCTCATGTGGCTGGTGCTGCAGGGACACGAAGAAAAAAGCAATGCCCAGCCATCAGGAGCAATGTTAATTAGTTATAGCTAAGTAAGTCTGGGTGTGTGGAAGGTGTGGAAGGACATATTTTTGCATAGGCAACCCTGTCAGGAGTTTTTTTGTTTTCTTTTTTTCCTACCCTCTGAGAATGCTAGTGAGTATTTAAAAACACATGCTTAAGGATCCTTAAAACATCCTAAGGAGATAAACAGAGGCAACCTCACCTGTCGGACAGGTATTTTGAAGAGGGTTTAATGGAAGCATTAGAGATATTACCGTATTATCAATTATTTGCATCTGCATTGTGACAGATCGATTAGCTTATTTAAGTAGCTGTCTGAAATACTTGAGGCCAGTGGGGTGTGGTGCTGGGCAGGTCTTGGTGCTGATAAACTCTTAGCTCTCTTATCACAAGTTTTTTCAAGAGTTTGGATTTTAGTTCTAAATTTCACATATCTTGCTTATTCATATAAACTTTTACATGAGGGCATGCAAATCAGAAATTTTCTCTATATAGACAGAAAGGTATCTAAAAGTGTGCAGACACCTGCACACTTTACAGTGTTCTTAATTTAACCAGAGTCTTGAAAAGCCTTTTCAGTTGCAAAAATGCAACCTTGAGCTACGCTTCCCCTGTGCAAATACACGGGCCTCTGCCAGCCCCAGAAGGTACTGGAGAAATGTGGCACGTTTCTTTTGCTGCTTTTTCTTCGCCAGATCACAGCGTTATATGATAGTCTGATTCTCATTTCCTCCACAGCTTATCTTTTTGTATTGTGCTGGTTTCCTTTGTATTTTAATTGCTTGCTCTCCTCCTGTAGCTGATCAAATCATATCACTGAATTTGACTTCTTTTTTTTTTTTCACTTTTTTTTTTTTAATTTGCCAGCTGCTCACATGCACACATGGCAAGGAGCAGCCTGACATCATTTGACATCTCCTTGCTTCCTCATTTCAATATTAACTGTTTACCAGAAGAGAAACAGGTTTGGGGTTAGGCTGCTGAGTGCTTGCACCTCTCTGTGTGTGAGCAAGAGCTTTTTTTTCCCCTCTGTCCCTTCACAGCCATAGGTCATTACACCAAGCTGCCTGAAACCGCTCAATGCTATTTTTCACCAGCTTGACTTCAGAAGAGACAGGTCTGTGGATGTGCTTCACTTTCTGCTTTGGCTGGGGTAGAGCAACAAGGCTCAGCGCTGTGGCTGCTGCTCTCATCCGAGAACAAACTTGCTGAAGGATTCTTTCCCCTCCACGGAGTGATAATAATGACACAGCTGCAGTTTAAAGATGCATTTTGGGTAAGTGAGCATTTCCTATAGTCAGTATATCTGTATTTAAAAATATTTTAAAATACAGATTCTAGATATAGTTTAAAACTAATTTAAATCCTGTTCTGTGTTCTAAATTTAGTTTAGTCAAAAAGCAAACTTGTCTCCAAGCAAAAACATACTGTTGAAGTGTTTGATCCTAGGCAGAATGATGCATTGTAAAGAATATATCCAGTTCACATAAAATCTCTGATGTTCCCAGTTCCTGTGTTAGGTCCAGAAACTGCTTTTGAAAGGGACACGGGTTTGTCTGATAGTCCTAAGGGCACTTGCTTGCAGCGAGTGCCCTCAGCTTTAGCAGTGGCTCCCCTGAGCAGGTGACCTGTTACTAATTACAGTCTGAATTCTCTCGTTTGCTGGTAGAGCAAAGCCAGCCAGCTGCATGCAAAATGCTATCACCCAGCCACCTAGAGGGTTCATGCCTGCTTTTAGGTGCAGAAGGGCATGCGTGAGGCTTGTAGGCGCCTGGGAGTCATACAGCAGCACAGGTAGAAAGAACTAGCAGTGTGACACTTGAGAACTAAGCCCCAACACTCACAATTAGCTTAAAACCAGTGAATTAGCTTAAAACCAGTGTGAACCTCATGAGGTTCAACAAGGCCAAGTGCAAGGTCCTGCACCTGGGTTGGGGTAACCCCCAGTATCAATACAGGCTGGGGGAAGAAAGGATCGAGAGCAGCTCTGGTGAGACCTCACCTGGAGTACTGCGTCCAGCTCTGGAGCCCTCAGCACAAGAAGGACATGGAACTGTTGGAACGGGTCCAGAGGAGGGCTACAAAAATGATCCGAGGGCTGGAGCACCTCTCCTATGAGGACAGGCTGAGAGAGTTGGGCTTGTTCAGTCTGGAGAAAAGAAGGCTACGGGGAGACCTGATTGCGGCCTTCCAGTACCTAAAGGGGGCCTATAGGAAAGATGGGGAACGTCTTTTTAGTAGGGCCAGCTGTGTTAGGACAAGGGGAAATGGTTTTAAACTAGAACAGGGTAGGTTCAGGCTAGAGGTAAGGAAGAAATTTTTTACAATGAGGGTGGTAAAACACTGGAACAGGTTGCCCAGAGAGGTAGTGGAGGCCCCATCCCTGGGAACATTCAAGGCCAGGTTGGATGGAGCTCTGAGCAATCTGATCTAGTTAGCAGTGTCCCTGCTCACTGCAGGGGGGTTGGACTAGATGACCACTAGTGGTCCCTTCCAACCCTAAACATTCTATGATTCTATGAATACTAAAACAAGTAGATATGCTCTGTTCTTGTCATTTGACTTCCAGTTGAAGAACCTTTTGGTGTCCTGTTTTCCAGCTCTTTCTCTGCAGTTACATGATTAAAAGACCCTAGCCACTTCTCTATTAAGGGTAATCTGAGGTTTTCTTGCAAGAGCTTCTGTAGTGGAGGTTTTAAGGAAAAAAAAAAAACCAAAACAACAACAAAATTCTAATATTGCAAAGTTAGGTAAATGGGATGTTACATGGTTTCCTCTTGGGCAATCGTTTTTCCAGCATCTAGGATTGACTTAAAGAAAGACATGAAGGCGTACGAATTCTTCCTGCCATTTTCCTATCAGGCCAAGTAGAACAGCATATTCTTCACGGCGTATTTGCTGCTTGTGCTTTCTTTCTCTCCACCCCCCCTTTAGGGTAAACCCTCTCTTGGTATGAAATAGAAGGGCAGATGCAAGAACCCATTTCAGTGAACCACCTTCCTCCTGACACTTCCAGGAAACCCTCCCCGCCCCCACTCCAGTACCAGATTTGAACAGTTAAAAAGAAAAAAAAATGTAATGAGGAAATACAAAAGTTAACTTTTATGTTAACCGTAACTGTGCCCGACCACACCTACAACGAGATTCTCTGTGCCTCTTTTATACAGCTACTCACTGCATAGTCCAATGCACAGGGTAGGACACAACTGCAAGCCAGTGCTACACGGGGAGCTTCAGCTTTTGCATTTCTGGGCTTCCTTTGAAAATGTGCCATCTGACTTTTAGAACTGGTATATTTGGTATATTTACTTTTCGGGATCTTGGTCTTCAGCAAGAATAAATCAGGTGTACTCCAGGGACTGGAGTAGGATTAGGGTGATTAATGCAAGCTGACAATCTGGGCAGGCCAGTTCTTTACGGCTCTTCTTCCCTAAATTTCTCTCCTGTGCTTAGTCACATTACCACGACTATAATCCTTGCTTAGCTTTGAAGCTAACACCTCCCTTAAAGGAAAGCATCTCTGTTTTTAATATTGTTTGGCTGGAAACATTGTATTGCTGAGCTTGATTAACAGGGCAGAAATATATCCGGTTACAGGATGGTAGCTTTAGCTATGCAATAATAAGTCTTTTAAAAAGAAAACTTACAGGATATTGCACAATGCGGCAAGAGTGTACAGCTTGCCCCCCAAATAACAAGATCAGCAATTATTTTTGCATTCATAAGGTTTTGTTAAGCTCATTAGTGAGAGGGAAATGTATTTGCATGGTTTGCTTTTAGGAGCACAATTATTTCCTTTAGTCAATTTGTGCCATGAATGGAAATCATCTTTATGATTAAAACCCCAAAAGTATATTTGCACCATAGTAGATCACTCACTACAGATCCCTGACCTCTCAGACCTGCCTAAGGACACCGCTGCAACCCTCCCTGTAAATCACCCTGATGAGGTATACTTGAGCAACAACTCCCTGCTCTTACCATCAGTAATGTTTTGGATAGGCAGAGGTTTCTTTAGTACCTATCACAATGTAAAATATGTAAAGAAACCCTAAAAGCAACTAGTGGAGAAACAGCACCATTCATTCCTCCCTGAAGTTCCTCAAACTTCATAAGAACAGGGTGTGCTGTCTTTCAGGCAAATGCAAACTGTTCCGCTTAACAGGTATAAGTTTTAATATCTCTTTTCCTCTAAGAAATCTAGCAGTGACTTAATCTCTCCTTCCCCTTACTAAATGTAGCAGCAATAGTACTACACTAAAAGTTTCACACTTATGCTATTTTTAAAAATTTTCTTTATAGCATGGCCTGGGCTAAAATGAGTATATTTTTTAATTAAAAATTTTGGTTTTATATCCTACACATGCTCTGTAATGGTTTAAGGAGAAGTTGCTCAAAGCCTCCGCTAAAATGTGCTTCTTGACAGAAGTTTTCTATCCTCTGACAATATTTTTTGGAAAATATTAGTGAGATGAAAATACAAAACAGTTTTGATAGCCAGTGTGGGGCAGTTGCTAATGGATTAATATTCTGCTGGGCTGCTGTACAAGTGTAACAGATATTACCTGTCTTCTCCAGCATCATGTTGGACAGGTAGGCAAATTCCCATGTTAATGGGGAGTACGTCTGTGATACCAGCTGAGTTTTGTGTTAACAGGATTATGTTAATAGGCAGAGATCTGAGCAACATTAATTTTTTTCTTACAAAAACCCACTAACCAAGAAAATCTTTCCCCTTCTCTCACAAATACTGAGTCTCTTGCTTAGTCTCATTCGATGTTCTTGTACTCATTGTTTGCTTTTCCTCTGAAATTCTTGTCATTGCCTTTTCTTTCTATTTTGTTTTTCTCCGACATGCTACTCAACACTCCAGCTGCAACCTTGTGAAATGCAGCTATTTCTGGCCAAGAGGTAGGTAGGTGCTTACTGGCATCATTTACTGCCTTTGCCTTACCCACCTGGGAAGGGGGAATGAGAAAGCCTTTCAAAGGAGGCATTTGGGTTTGGGGCAGGCTCCAAGGTGCTCAGAGTTGAGCGGGAGGAAATCTATTCCCTCAGGTAGCTTTGAATCAAACTCAAGTGGCCAAGTCAATTCCAAAAAAGTGTCCTGGGCTCCTAAGGTGCTTAGGATTTAAAAAAAAAATGCTTTAAGTGTGAAGTGCTTCATTCTCAACTGTGGGATGAGCTCAGGGCTTGTGGATTCTCACAGCTCAGATTTAAACATGCAAGTGAGCTGGAAATACGAGCCAACAAATACGATGCAGTCCTTGAATGTGAGATAGCAAGATTTGCCTCCCTGCCCTGCTGCGGATTTCTTGTTGCCACATTCCTGCCTATGCAGTACCCCTGATAATGGGCAGATGCTACAGCACTGGGAGCCATGGAAGTGCTTAAGATAAAAAGCCCATTACAAAGAAAGATGCTTTCTTAATCTTTCTTGATTTGACTTCAGGTTATATTCTACATCAGGCTTAATGCAAAGCTGAGTTCATAGGTGAACCTCTCAACTGTTAGTGTAGCTTTTTCACACAATAGTGTGTTATATAGGCCAAAAAAATGTAATTAGTTTAATAAATAATTTAACTTCTAATGAGGCTCTTAACTATGGTACGAGAGTAAAGAGATAATTATAAAAGTCACAGTAAAACTAGACTTCCTGGGAAAGGTACTGAAGAAATACAAAATCAACTGTTCTCTCAAAAAAGGAAGTCTTTTTTATACCAGGAGCTACTCTGCTTTCCTGTAGAGGTTAAGTTTTGCAGGGCCTGTTGTTTTGAAGCAGGTCTGTGAGGAGGAAGTGAGACCGGGCAGGTTTGTCAGGAGGGAGGAACGGCTGAGCTCAGGCAGTGAGGGACGTGGCTGCCATACCTTTCATGCTGACATCTCAGCTTTGCAAGTGGTTCCCCATTGAGTTTTATTTGAATTGGATTGCACCAGTTGCATCTGTATCTGCTGACACAAGGCAAATTAAAATAAATAATCTCACCGCACACTGGCACACAGACAGCCAGGCTCTGGTACTGCATCTCTCCAGACTGCAGAAGATGTGACTAGAGGCACATGTATAGCTGTGGCCCTGCTTACATCCAGGGCAAGTCATCACTGGTGGATGTGTGTGGAAATGGAGAATAAAGGGGGAACCAACTTTTCCAAGTTGAACGGATTGCCCAGCTGATGTTTGTGTTTATTGTGAGGTCAGCTTCGTCTCCACAGAAGAGGCTGCTCTATTCTTTTTTTACATGTAATTTCTTCCTTCATTCTCCCAGATGATCTGGG